AAACCCTGTCTCAAAAAACCAAAAAAAAAAAAAAAAAAAGAATCAGATTTGAAGCCGGGCGGTGGTGGCGCATGCCATTAATCTCAGCACTTAGGAGGCAGAGGCAGGAGCATCCCTGTGAGTTCTAGGCTAGCCAGGTCTATAGAATGAGTTCCAGGACAGCCAGGGCTACACACAGAGAAACCCTGTCTCAAAAAACAACCAAACAAACAAAGTATCAGGTTTGAAAAAAAAATAGGTAAGGTAGCCAAGCCTATGATCCCAGTACTCAGGAGACTGAGGCAAGAAGACAGTTCTGAGTTCAAACACAGCCCAGGCTACATAATGAGTTCCAAACCAGACTGTGCTAAGACCCAGTCCCAACAACAACGGAAAGCTAGCTAGTGTGGTGGCTCACTCCTTTAGTCCCAGCTCTCGGGAGGCCAAGAGAGATCTCCCTAAACTCAAAGCCAACCTGCTCTACAGAGCAAGTCCCAGGCCAGTCATGGCTACACAGTGAGACCCTGTCTCAAAGAAGGAAAAAATGAACAAACTAACTAACTCAAGAGGCCAAGGCAGGGCTGCCAAGAGTTTGAGGTTAACCTGGCTACACAGGGAGTATCAGGCCAGGGCTACATAGCAAGACTGCCTGAAACAAAACCAAAAGGTATATAAATAAACAAGAGTCCAAGGCAAGCATGGTAGATTACACCTAACCTGTAATCTCAGAAGACTAAAGCAGGAGGATTACTGAGACACTAGGCCAACATTGGCTACAGTGTCTCCTATAAAGTTAAAAAAAAAATCCTAAGAGAAAAAAATTAAAGGGTTACAGAGTAGAAACATTCTCTCAAGTCAGTAGAGAGCATATCAAACTCTAATTCCAAAAGCACATAGCATTTTAAATGCTCAAAACTACTGAAACAAGTTTTGGGGGTTTTGATTTTTCTTTGAGAAAGGGCTTCCCTATCTATCTTAAGCTACCCTGGAACTCATGATCCTCCTGTATCAGTTTCCCGAGGTCTGGAATTACAAGTGCACACCACCACATCCAGTCTGGTGCTGCTGGGGTGGGGCGTGTGGACTTGCTGCTGCGCTCCTGTTGCTTTCAGGCCATGGTCTCCTGTAGCCCAAGCTGGCCTCCAATTCCCTGTGTAGCTAAGGCTGGCCTTGATCTCCTAACCTTCCCGCTTCCACTTCCCACATTCTGGGATTGCAGACAAAGTATTATTTTGTAGGCTCTATCTTTTTCAGTTTTCATACAAAGTAATGGGCTTTGTTGTGACATTTTCATACACATGGATGATTACACTTTCGTTCCTTTTTAAAATTATTATTTTTCACATATGGTTATTCCACCTACATGCATATCTATACACCAAGTGCATGTCCGGTGCCTGCAGATGCCTGGAACTGGAGTTACAGACAGTTGTGAGCTGCCGTGTGGGTGCTGGGAACTGAACCTATGTGCTCTGGAAGAGCAGCCAGTGTTCTTAACTACTAAGCCGCCTCTCCAGCTCTCCTATACTTTTATTCCTAATTGCCAACTACTACCCTCCCTTGATTTTGTGGCTTTTATTCCTGCCACTAGAAAGAAAGCTAAGGCTATTTCCTACAAGGAAAAGAAGCTGCCTTCGTTCCCTTGACTTTCCATCCACGCCAACTCTGACCTGTACCTAGCTTTGTCATGACAAACTACATTTCCCTAAGATTTAGAAGCACTGGAAAATGTTTCAAAGCTGTGCAAACTGTATGTAGGCAAGACAATTACACTTTCTTAGCCTGTTTTATTATCTGGAAAGTGGAATAAAATAATCAATAGTTTGGAATATTATTTGACCCTAAAAAAGAAATGAGCTCTCATCCTAGATAGGCAGGATGCATGCCTGTAATCCCAGCACTTGGTCGGTTAAGGCAGGAGGGTCAGGAGTTCAAGGCTAGCATGAACTATATGAGACTGTCTAAAAAGAAATAACTTGGTTGCATGGAGGGGTGATATATATATAATTAATATAACAGCGTCTCATCTATGCTTTTTCAAGTTAAGACGAAAATCTTGAATCCCAGCATTTGGGAGGCAGAGGCAGATGGAACTCTGTGAATTCAAAACCAGCCTGGTCTACAGAGTTAGTTCCAGGAGAGCCAAAACTGTTACGCAAAGAAACCCTGTCTTGAAAGAAACAACCAAAAAAAAAAAAAAAAAAGAAGAAGAAGAAGAAGAAGAAGAAGAAGAAGAAGAAGAAGAAGAAGAAGAAGAAGAAGAAGAAGAAGAAAATCTTAATTGTCCATTTCCCAATTTGTCAAAAAACAAACTACCATGCTAGTATATTTAGGTGAGTGAATTGTAGACAACTGTTAGTTTTCTATATATTAAAAACACCATATCCCATGCTGGGCAGTGGTGGTGCACACCTTTAATCCCAGCACTTGGGAGACAGAGCCAGGTGGATCTCCGGTGAGTTCAAGGCCAGCCTGGTCAAGTTCCAGGACAGGCTTCAAAGTTACAGAGAAACCCTGTCTCTAAAAGAAAAAAACACATCATCTCCCCCCGCTTTTTTTGCATGTGCTTCTGTGTGCACACTCCTGTATTCCTGTCTGTGGGGATGCATATCAAGAGCAGCGGACAACTTCCAATGTGTCTTCCTTTGAGACATGGGTCTCTCTCTCACTGGCCTAGAGCTCACCTATTAGGCTAGGCTGCCTGGCCAGTGAGTCCCAGAGATCTGCCTATTTCCATCTCCTCAGAACTGCAATTACAGACATGTATACTATGCTCAGACTTTTTATATGGGTTCTGGGGATCAAACTCACATCCTCATGTTTTCGAAAGTTCTGAAAGTCCTACATAGTGAGACCAGAGGACAACTTTCAGAAGTTAGTTCTCACCTTTCACTTTGTCTTGAGGCATGGTCTATGCCACCACACCCAGCAAAAGAAAAAAAATATTATTACAGATTTAGTTTTACAGATTTTTTGCAGTCCTGAGGATTGAATGCAAGGTCTCACACATATTTGGCAAGCATTCTGCCACTGAGCTCCAGGCCCAGCTGCATTCAGCTTTTTTTTTTTCCCTCCCGAGACAGGGTTTCTCTGTGTAGCTTTGCGCCTTTCCTGGAACTCACTTGGTAGCCCAGGCTGGCCTCGAACTCAGAGATCCGCCTGGCTCTGCCTCCCGAGTGCTGGGATCAAAGGCGTGAGCCACCACCCAGCAGCATTCAGCTTTTTTACACGGGTTCTGGGAATTGAAATCAGGTCCTCAAGGCTTGCTTCGAACGCACTTTTAACTAGCTTGAGCCATTTCACTAGCCCCACAGCTGGTTTTTATGGTTTTATGCGGTGATGGGGACTGAATGCAGGGCTTCATGTGCATGCTATGCAAGTATCCTACCTACTGAGTTACATACCTATCCTAATCCTTTCTACCTTTCCTGAGCAAATAAGTTTGGGGGAAAAAAATTAAGACTATAGGAGGAGTATCCACATTTGCACACACACACACCACAAATAATGTAATAAATATTTTAATTAAAACAAAATAAGAGGAGCCGGGCAGTAGTGGCACACACCTATAATCTCAGCTCCTGGGAGGCAGAGGCAGAGGCAGGCGGAGCTCTGTGAATTCAAGGCCAGCCTGGTCTACAGAGCAAGTTCCAGGACAGGCTCCAAAGCTACACAGAGAAACCCTGTCTCGGAAAAAAAAAAAAAAAGAAAAAGAAAAAAAAAGAAAGAAACAGAGCAACAAAGAGATGCCATTAACAATAAATACATCTTTTCCATTTTTAGTAGCCTAGTCTGGCCTTGAACTCAAAATACAGCCATGGGCGACCACCATCCCTGATTTACACAGTGCTATAATCAAACCCAGGATTTCCTACAAACTATAGACAAGTATCCTACTGCCTCCGCTACACTCCCATCCCTTAATAACAATGGCATTGTTGTTAGATTTTTGAGATGAGAGAATCTCACTCTGTAGTCCAGGCTAGCCTCCACCTCACTGTCCCTCTGTATCAGACTCATCAGTGGGAGTGCTAGGAGTCACCTCCCAGAAGTCTTACAATATTTTTTTAACCTAATGAGTTCAAAATTATAATAATTTGTTTAGAGTGCTGGTGCAGGCCTGCAATCCAAGCACTTGGGGTGTGGAGGCTGGAGGATGAGTTTGAGGCCAACTTGCTCTATATAAGACCCTGTCTTAAAGAAAAGAGAAACGCTGTAATGGATGCAACAATTTACTTGTGAGCTACATGTCACCAGCTTTGTACTAAGCCTTGGGGAAAAAACAAGCACATTATTAAAGCACATCTCATTTCCAACTTGCCACACATGACCAGTGGTTCCATTCCACTGTGCAGGCCTACAGCAACAGAAACACCAAGAGACATCTTTCTAATGATGTTCATTTTTAAAGTAATGTAAATCAGACACAAAAAAAGTACTTACTGGATAAGCCCCTTTTACGACGTTTGTGACTGGCAAAACTAAGGCAAGACGATGATCATCAAAACAGTGCAAGGGGGGTGGGCAGGGAAATGAACTGACTAGAAAGGGGGTACTAGGGACCTTTGTGGGTTGGTGGAAACCGCTAAGTCTAGTTAAATCCCATCGACCTGAGGTGAAGCGGAAAATTTCTTGGGTATAAAGTACAAGTCGGCCTCCCCCCGGGCGGTAGTGCTCAGTATGCTGAGGCCAGCTAAGGGGGTTGTTGTTTAACCTATGAGCTGATATAGAAAGCCTACTCAAAAACCGAATCATCCCTGCGGGCGGTTTCGCTTCCGCCAACGCCATCTCGGGGATCCACAAAGCAGGGAGAAGTAGGGATTGGGGGTGCAGAATCCTGTGCGGAGAGACACACCCCAGGGACGCGCCGATTTGGACCCCATGTCACCAGCTACTGCCAGGGGACAGGCGACCGCGGCACTGGGAGCAAGTGGGCGTCCCCCAGTCCCAAAGGCCTGCTCGATCGCCAAGGTTTCCGAGCACTGTGTGCGAGAAGCGAATGGCTGTGGGCCGGGCGTGGGCACCAGCGGGAAGGGGACAAAAGCATCCAGGCCCCAAGTATGCTCCGGGCAGGGCCGAAATGGCCCCGGGGGAAATATGGTGGTCTGGGCACCGAGGCCCGAGGGGTTTCGGGGGAGGCCCAAGAAGGGAGTTACCTGTGTAGTGGCGAGGACGCCGTGGAGTGTGGCTCAAGCAGCTCCACCCAGCGGCCAGCTGGGCCTGGCGCTCACCTGTCCTGCGGGAGCAGGGACCTCATCTAGGGTGCTCCAGTCACCACGGGGTCCTGCCCGCCCCAGGAACTGAGAAGCCCTCCTCACCCACCTTCCCCTGGCGGTCCTGCAGCCGGCCGAGCTGACTCACGCTGGTTGTGAAATTGGGGGTGTTGCAGCGGTGGGGTCCAGCGATAGTACAGAACAGGCGCCTAAAAAGTGTTCCCTACGGCACAGGCAACTCCCATCACCCTCCGCTCTAGTCGCCCTTGGCCCCAGGCCACGCTCAGCCTGGGCCTGCCCCTCCCTCCCTCCGGTGGTGAGCTAGCTTCAGCCCAACCACTACGACTTCTGGACAGCTCAGAACCTGGCCAGCAGAGCCCCTTCGCTCTCCCGCCAACTTCACTCACCACAAATGCTAGAGCGTCCCACCACAGAGCCGTCCGGGAGCCAAAAGCTGAGAAAGGAGAAAAACAAAGCCCAATTCTTGCCTAGGGGCTCACCGCCCATCTACATGTCCATTGGTAAATGAACTTCCTTAGCACGAAGTTAGGGAGAGGGGAGGAGCGGAGGAAAGTAGGAGAGAAGGCTTCCAAAGTGACGGTGGGGGAGTGTTGAAAAGATAAGTGTGGCAAAGGACACCAGACGTGGTTTCAGGTGAAGAAAGGGAGAAAACAGCTGAAAAAGGAAGGCACTAACTAGACACAGATTTGAAGGGAGCTGAAATTTTAGGGAACCCGTGTAAGTTTTGTTTCTTTGGTTGTTTTTGTTGTTCCTTTGGGGTCTTGTTGGCTAGTTTCTCTTTTGGTTTTTGAGACAGGCTAGGGCTGGAGATGCAGCTAATTTGGTAGAGTGCTTGCCTAGCAAACACAAGATCACATATCGTATCTTCAACACACAGCATCCATCTGCCACGACGGCACATATCTATAATCGCAGCAATGGAAAATAGAAACAAGAGGATCATAAGTTCAAGATCCTCCTTGGGTACTTAGTAAATTCGAGGCCAGCCTCGGTTATGTGAGACCTTAGGAATAGAAAAGAGGTCCACTATGTTCACCCTGGCTGACCTGGAGCTCTATGTGTAGAAGGTCAGGATGGTCTCAAACTTAAAGCAATCTCCTCCCCTTGCCTCCCAAATGATCATGAAATTTTTGAATAACCAGGATAAAACAAGACTCACCACTTAGACAAATATTCCTTGAAGACCTAGTGGAGTTTAGAAAGGCAATTGTGCACTGATGTCCAGTTATAAGATATATAAATATAGTTGACTGCTAAGACCAGTTTGCTGGTGGTGTCAAGTGGGCCAAGTGGGAGACTCTTTAAAGCATATCATTGTAGTGGAGGCCAAAGGTCGAGTCCTAGAGTACACAGACTGAAGGCAGCGAGAGCCTACCGGGCAGAGAGAGGGGAAGAGGGGCCTGAAGGGAGCAAAAGCACAGGTGAGTTTAGCAGCAGAGACTGTGATGCTGAAGGTCAAGATTTCAAAGGCAAGCCAGGCTTGGGGGCTCACGTCGGTCATCCCAGCACTTAGGACTCAGAGAAAGGCAAGTTCCAGTCCAGCTGGGGATACATAGCAAGACCCTGTCTCAAATTTTAAAATATAGAGGGCCAGAGAGATGACTCCGTGGTTAAGAGTAGTTACTGCTCTTGCGGAGGACTCAAATTCCGTTCCCAGCACCCACATCAGACAAGCAGTTCACAACCACCTGGAACTCCAGCCCCGGAAGAATTCCACTCCTCTAGCCCCTTATGGCACTCGCACCTGGCATCTGCACACACCAACACACAGAAACAAAACTAAAAATAAAACAGATGGGGGAGGGGTAAGTAAGAGGGCTCAGTGATTTGACACTTCCATACAAACCTGAGGACTTGAGTTCAATTCCTAGAACCTACATGTTGGAAGGAGAGAGCAAACTCCACCTAGATGTCCTTTGACTTACACATGGGGGCTGTAACAGAATCTCAATCTCAATCTCTCTCTCTCTCTCTCTCTCTCTCTCTCTCTCTCTCTCTCTCTCTCTTTAAAATAAGGGTGGAGAGATGGTTCAGTGATTAACAACCACTGACTGCTGTTCCCAAAGTCACATGGTGGCTCACAGCCATCTGTAATGAAATCTGATGCCCTCTTCTGGCCTGCAGGCGTACATGCAGGCAGGACACTGCATACATAATAAATAAATAAATCTTTTAAAAAATTAAAATAAATTTTAAAAGGGTACGGGGTTATAACTCACTTGGTAGAGAGTACCTGCCTGGCATACATGAGATCCTGAGTTTGATTCCCAAGCACCACATAAAGCCAGTGTGGTAGTACAGGCCTGTATTCCCAGCATTTGTGAGATAGAAACAAGAGGATAAGAAGTTCAAAGTCATCCTCAACTACCCGGTGAGCTAGAAGCAAGGCTGGCTTACATGAGAACCTGTGTCAACAATAAATAAATACATGAGAGGCTGGAGAGCTGGCTCAGTGGTTAACAGGCTGCTCTTCCAGAGGACTCAGGTTCAATTCCCAGCATCCACATGGCAGCCTAGAACAGTCTGTAACTCCAGTTCCAGGGGATATTACACCTTCTTCGGGCCACTGCAGGCACCAGGCATGAATGCTGTGCACAGAAATACAGGCAAAATAAAATAAATATTGCCACTGTTCACAATAGCTAGGAAATGGAAATAACCTAAATGTCCTTCAAGGGAAACATAGAAAAAAATGAGAGGAGAGAGATAAATACAGAAGAAGGAGGGTGGAGACTAAAATAATAGTAAAGATACATTCCAAAAGTCATAAAGCATCATATTATTATCTACCAAAAATTACATGTAATACATATAACTCTGTCCATACTTATACAGTTTAAGTGAAAATTTTCCATCTGGGCTGATAATGTTCCCTCCAAGAGCAATAGACCATCTAACAAAAACTCCAACAGCAGGCATGGGAAGCTCCCTTTTGAATTGTTGGTCCAGGTTGTCCAAGAGACTCCCAAAACATTATAAGCTATTGATGTTGCCCTTGGTTGCCTCTCCCAGTTGGAAGTAAATCCCTTTTGAAGAAGACACGATGAACTTCAGAAACAGGGCCCAGAAATCCCTGAGCTGGATCTGACCTAAAAGCTTCCTCCCTGAGGACTAGCTTTCATGGTGCCATGCAAGCTTCCAGGAAGGAAACACCGACAGTCTCACTCAGCTATAACACCTATGAACCACAAGGACCAGCATGGCACAATAACCTAAGGGTACAGGAGTGGTACATGTAGTAGGAAGGCTTCTCTGGTCCCAGCAGGCCCTCACAGCCCCATGGCCCGCTTATAAAATAATCACTCAGAAGTTTATATTAATTATAACTGCTTGGCCATTAGCTCAGGCTTATTACTGACTAGATCTTACACTTAAATTAACCCATAATTCTTATTTATGTTTAGCCACGTGGCTTGGTACCTTTTCTCAGTTCTGCCTTGTCATCTTGCTTCCTCTGTGTTTGGCTGGCGACTCCTGACTCAGCCTTCCACTTCCCAGAATTCTCCTCTCTGCTTACCCCATCTATACTTCTTGCCTGGCTACTAGCCAATCAGCATTTTATTTATCAACCAATCAGAGCATATTCACATCATACAGAAAGATATCCCACAACACTTCCCCTTTTCTGTCTAATCAAAAAGGAGAGTTTTAACTTTAACATAATAGAACAGTTATCAAGCATGAATTATAGTTACAATATCTAATCTATTTGTATTTGGCAAAATTAAGGAAAATATTCTATCTATCCTATATTTGTGAGTCTAAGGTTTCATATCTAATTTATCTTTTATCATAACCAAGGAAAATCATAACTATCTAGTCTTCAAATACATCAAAGACCTCAGAAGAATATAATATTACCTAAGTAAACAGGAAGAGCATTGTAAGCAACTTCCAAAATTCTGGAAATGACAGACATAGCTGCCTGCCTGGACAGTCTTCAGTCTTCTGTAACGTTGGTGCATCCATCTTCAGCCTAGAGTCTCCCAGTTGCATCTCTCTGTGTCCTATACAATGTCTGGCAGTCTCCTCTGCGAAGCAGGAACCTGAAGGACCATCTCGCCTTGCAAAGTTCAGTGATCACCTTGCTATGGGTCCTGAATGTCCAGTCAATACAACATTTTGTCAAGCATTCCAGGCAAGAACAGTTTCTTGCCCAAATGGCTATTTTTGCCAAGAAGAAGATAAACTCCATATGGAATGTTTTCGACGCCCATCTTTCTCTTTGAAGTAAAATGGTACTGGCAGGAGCAGACGCATCTTATTGTCCAGGAAAGTCTAAGTTATTAAAATATTTTAAATGCCATATTCTGTAGGTCTTTGAAGCGTTTGAAGATTACCTATCTATCTGAAATATATCTGTGTATACCAGAAAACTTAACTAACATGGCTATAAGTTTGACTATTATAGATGACTAATTATTAATCTGTATTTTTAATTAAACATTACAATTTTAAATGAGCTGCACAAACATAATACATTAAACAAGAGTAGAAATATACATATAACAAAATTAACTTCAAATTTGCATCAATAAACTAAAATCCATAGCAATGTAAAACATTTTAAATGAGTTGTTACTCTTTATCCTATCATATCTATAATAGGCACATGTTGGTGGTGACCAGCAGCTCTCTAATTGAACTTAAGACTCATTCAACAGGAGGGAAATCATACCTGGTACTGGAAACCTAGTCAACCACCTAGAGCTAGTAAAGTCATGGGTCTTGGAGGAGAAACAACCACTACTTTACAAAAAAGAAAAGTGAGGGGGAGCATAATCCCTAACTACACTCTAAATATTTATCCTTACACCCACAGACAAATTTAGTTTTTATCCTTCACCAAGGAAACTTCTCTTTACAAAAGCTGGAGACCATTACAGAAAACCACAACCAATCAAAATACAGAGAATAAGAGATCCTGTGGTGTCAAGTGCCAACTGATATATCTACAACACAATTCCTACACCTAAGGCTGAGGGATCACTTTGGAAGAGAGTCTGAAAGACTGTAAGAGCCAAACAGGAAGTTTCCTGTAAGATTCTGTCTCCTAGAAATATGTCAGAGGGGCTTATACCCATGAAGTCTCATCGTCACAGCTGCCTAAGCAGGACCTGAACAACAGTGACACCAAAGGACATGCTGACATGGGAGGGAAGAAAGCTCAGGGGGCTTCAACCCTAGACAAAGAACTGCGGGCAACTGGGGACTGTAGAGAGCGGGAGAAAAGGTCTTCCGCAGAGA